ATATTTAATTTTATTTTTTTATAGAGCCATCAATCAGCTCATTGTCATATGCTTGGTTAATTCAGTCAAAGACCTTACCTGAACTAGCCTTATATGACACTTCATTTCAGACAATCTAACAACTGTGGTCTTATGTTAAGAGTGCACAAAAGATTTTCAGTGTTCCACAGATGCCATGGTTACCCTTATTTCTAGGCAACGTCTGGAATTAAATGTTTTGAGATGAGACTCTAGGGTAGAAATATCTAATGAGAGCAAGAAGGAAAAAGACATTTTTAAATGGCAGATAGAAAGACATCTTCAGAAACTTTGCATTTTGCATGAGAAAAAAAAGGGGAGGAGGAGGACAGAGTTGGCCTAGATGTGCAAATTACTTTTCCAGAACAAAAATTAATCTACTCTCACCTGTGACAAAAATGCATTAAAGAAGGCTCTTCAACTCCACCTTTGGTTTTAATCTTTCAGCCAAGCAGACTCAGTTTAAAGAAAAATTTTGCTTATAATGCACTCCTACAGACTTTGTTCATTTTGTTTTCAGAGGAATGAGTGGATATTATAGTATAGATACAAACTTCCACAGAGTCTTGAAGTACTTGGTGGCAAATCTCCTTATAAGTGGAGAGATTCTATTCACTGGCAGCATATACATTTAAACATATGGTCGAATAACGAGTAGGCAAGGTTGAGCTAGAATCCACCTGACAACATACCAAACCTGCCAACATTATTTTAGCAAATTTTCAGCATTCACTGCATTCAGAGCTATAAATCACCTTTTGAAACAAGCAGGACACTTTAAAAAGGAGAAACATCCAAAATAAATACTGCCTTTACTCTTTGAACCATCACCAGTATTTCTGTGTATAAAATAATAAGTGAGACAGGAAATAAAAGATATTAAAGAAGAAAACCCAAAGCAAATTGACTGCTGCCACATGAATTGGTCAAATGTTTATTTTTCTAAAGGAAGTTTTTATTAATTTTCTGTCATGTTGCAATATTTTGGATGTTAATACAGTGATCTCTATCCAGGACCCTAAAAAGTGCAGATGCTGACAACATACAGATATTTGCCACATGTGCCTGAAGCCAAATAAAATTTTTTAAAAAAAAAAAAATCACATAAATGAATTGCAGAAATGATTGATACAAAGAACTTATTAGAAAGGTAGCCCACCTTGGTAAAATGATTACAGATTTAAATAAAAATTGTTCCCACTGTTTTTCTGCAGTGTGCAATGGATTTAATCTCTACTTTCCTTCTGACTAAGAGCATGCAAGTCATTGCTCTTGGAAAGAATATTCATATCAGCTTTTATTTGGTATCATTTCACATTCATGTATTTCCCAATACAACCCAGAATTTCCAGCCTGGCATGTGTCCCATTGTACAAAGTACAATGTCTTCCCCAAAGGACTTAATAGTGCTGCAATGAAAAACCTCAGAGCTAAACCCACTGCACCTCGTGATGTCCTGTGAAACTCATGAGAGCCAAAAAACTTTTGAACAATTAATGATGGCAATTTTATAAGCATTGTTAATGCAGCAGCTGTACACTGTGAACAAGTTATAGGAAGGGCATATGCATGATGATGTGGTCTTAACAGAGATGAGTTGGGGACAGTCTGAAAAGGCCCACCATTAAATTAAAATTAAGAACAAAATGAAGCATGGAGAACAGCTACATAAAGTCCTGTGTGTGTGCCTGAGCAGTATCTGTGAGACAATATATAGATATTTGAAGGGAGCAGTACACAAGAGTAAGGACTCCTAAGAAGAGAAGTTGACAAATCCAAACTTACATTCTGACTACAGAAAAAAAGGGAAACGTTTTTTAAACACTGACTCTATAGTACAATTACTCCTTTCACAACAGCCCCAATTGAAAAAAATCCTGTGAGCTTGAGGGATTCTTCACATATGCAGAATCTGGCCTGTAACTTCTTACTGATACCTAAAAACCAAAGGCCCAATTCCAACAAACAGAAAAAATTTTTTGCTACTCAAGATCTGAAATTTTTAGACACCAGATTTCTAATTTTTATTTTGTTACGATGTAGAAGACTTCAAAGTACTGCCATATGATAAAAAGCATAATGCTTTCGATTATGTATTTCCCAAGGTATTTATCTTGGGTGAAAAGTAAATATAGACGCTCCAAAACTAATAATAGAATTGAAACAAACTGGCTTAAAATAGAATTCTGTCCATGGCTATACACTTATTACTCACTAGAAGCACTCTTCACGAACAAAAGAGGCTTCGTAAAATTCAGACACTCCTCATTAATGGCAGACAATCTGGAATGCAAGCAAACCCACAGAGTTAACCAGTCAGTCAATACAAGCATAGTCCTCATCCATTACCTACTGAATTCAGCCTGCAGTGAGCCTAAGGCACCAAGTTAAACACTTCATTCATTCACAGCCTTAGATTTACTCTGGCAGGTTTCAGAAAGGGAGCCAGGCTTCAAGAATCAGCTTGGAAGATAATGACCTTTATTGACATTGCTGTAAATTTGAAGTTTGTGTTTGCTGTCAGTCAGGTATGATGTGATCCCTATTGATTTGTGGTGAAAGGACACAACGATTCTAACCCTCAGGGCTGGATGAATGCTGCTTAGGGCAGAAGTGAAGCCCTGCTAGTGAAGAATGTAGTTACACAGCTTTCCTTCTGCTGTCAGACTACAGATTACTGGAAAGAGTTCATGGCACTCCAACCAGGGGACCCGGGAGCAATACAGACAGTTGACCACTGCTATATTTTGTGGCCTGTCCTAACATATGAAATTTGCCTCCCCTTCAGAAATCTATACCTCAGTCATACAAATCTCTTGGGAACAAGCCTGGATCCAGGATACACTGAGAGCCCTCTTCACTTTGTGGAGTATGGAGAGGCTGTCGAGGGCAGCGGAGGTGGGTTCAGTTGGGAGCAGAATGACTAAATACTTGAATTAGGAGATTTACCAAGTAAATGGAAAAGAAATTGTGTACTAACTTTTCAGCTTTCTGTGTCTCCTTAGAATTTTTAAGTGTTCACACATTTGTGCTGCAGGACTGTAATTCCTAGATGAATGTGTTGTCCTTCATGGGCTTAGTCAACCCATTCTTTGCTTCACTTAGTCATATAACTTAAGACGCTCTTTCTCGTTCTGTATTGCCATATGTGAATGATTCAGAACTGTGTTAAAAATGTGCTTACAATTAGTCCTCCAGATGCAACACACAGACTACAGCAACCTCAAACAGTCTGGAGTGCACAAAGAATCTTCCACTGTTGCAGTCCTCTCTGCTCCCCTGCCCCCACTTAACAAGTCAGTAGCAGGGGTGGAGCTTCTAGTGTTTTGTATATGCTTATTTTCCATTCAGACCTCTTCTGTTTTCCAGAGTATTGCCTTTTTTGGCATATGTTTATTTTCCTCCCTGCCTTTTCTTATAATAGTTAGCACAGGCAGCATTTATCCAGTTACTATGTAAAGTCTATTATCCATTCCCTTCCCCTCTATGGAAAGGGACACTCAATTCTAATGCTTCCCTTTTGTAGCCAGAAGCCACTGACATCCTAAAGAAAACAATTTTTTTTTAAACACTGACTCTATAATACAATTATTCTTTCACAACTCCACAGTGCTAAAGGGGCCTATCTTACTTGGAGGCAATCTGGTTCTAAGAACAAAAACATTTTCTGTATTTCTTAAAAAGGCTCAAGATAACTATAAGTAACTTTTAACATCCTTGGTACATTTTCTTTCATGCAACCTTTGATCTTCTGAATCAGGACAGCTGCATCTGCAGGCTGTGTACGACCACAGGGAACAGCAGCTCCAGAATCAAGCTCTCTAGGAGTCCAAAATGTGCATCTCTCTGGAAAGGGTTCCCAGGCAGGCATGTGCCTGATGGAGGTGCAGCAAACAGGTACAGTACGCATGGAGCCAGCAAGCTTATTAGGCAGCCATTTGTCTGCACAGATTTTGCATGACCAGCTTTCTGTGACAAAATATGCCTTGAAATTCAGTTTCAGAGAAAGGCAGTGATGTCTGAGAATAAATTCTCACAATACTTCCACTTGGAGAGACAGGTCAAGAATCTAGAAAAATAAAACTGTGACCATTCAGAGATCTAATGCTTCTCAATTGCACTAAGAAATGAAACCGGAAAGAATGAAAGATTGTACATAATATCAAATTTTCAAGCCATGTTTTCTTACTGGCCTTTAGGGCAATGTAGGATGTCACCAGCCTAGCAACTGGAAAGCAATATGAGCCAAAGTTTCTGAAAGTGAGTAAAACATAGTCTCTGATCAATCTGCAAATGCAAGATGGTAAAAGAGAAGGAATACTTTGATTGGATGTAAGCTGTATCTGGAAAGGCAGCCACTGATCACCAGGACTGAGAGAAGAGAGCAGCAACAGGAAAAAAATCCTAGCAGGGGATGGGGCACATCACACAGACAGACATCTCATGGCAGCTCTGTTCAAGGCAAAGGCAGGACTGCAGCCGATTCCTCAGCGAGACGTGTAGCACAACGGGGCCATATTGTTCTTTGCAAAATGATATGCAAAGCGTGTTCCTGTTTTCTTTTTTTAAGGGGCGGTCATCTGAGCCCAGGAGCTGAACTGTTAACACTAAATGGGCAATCATTTAAAGACCTGTCGAGCAGGGAGGCTGAATCTCTCATTCACCCGACAACACGGCTGATGAACATCATGATGGCTAGCAAAGTAAGCATGAAAGCTGTGGCTCCCTCCCACAATGGTGGGGTGATTTGACAACATTTACTTGAGAGAGAAGGGGAATTTATGCATCAGACATTGGAAGAACATGATTTTGCTCTTCCTGACTAAACCCCAGACCTCTTGTGGTCAAATTCTGGTGACTTTCAGCATAGCTTTTTCCCAGATAAACAGAGGCTACGTGGAGTCCAAAACCCTGGGAAATTCTAGCAATGGCTGTACAACCCTTCCTTTTAGAAACACATACCTTGCCAATGTTAATTTTGCATTTGGAAGTTGAGTAAAGGCAGAGGTGGATTTAAGGGAAGATCCATGAATAAAGAGGCCAGAAAGCAGGCCCTGTACCAATGTAAGTTTGTGGATCTAGGATCTATAGTTAGGAAATTTCCAAGGTGAATGTCACAGGACTCTGCTACAGAGAGAGGGGAACAGCAGCGTTAACAGGTCAGCAACCCTGGATTATCACCAACTCTTTCAGTGGAAAACCATTTTTGAACTTTGTTTCAGAGTCTGTTTCATCGGATTAGACACATTTCATTTCAGGCTTATTGTCCTCATCTCCACCCCAAACTAGATGGCACCTAGGCTTTTCACTTGCAAATTCTGGAGGAAACAGAGGATGATGAACAGATGGAGTTAGCCCTCTACCACACAATTACCACTTGGAAGACAATCGAGCTCAGCCAGAGATTTGTTGCAAGCTTCAGATCTTGATATTCAAGAAAAAAAGTCACCTTCTGCTTGTTATGCAATAGAGTCACACAGAAAGCTCTGGTATAATCCTAGATTGAGAAAACACCCCTGTCTGGAGCTGCTATCAGGTCTGAGTAGAGTGTGCCTGTTTCTAGGACAGCAGCAACCTGTCTCACACAGATGTCTGCTGGATTCTACCAAGATTTTTATTTTCTCTCCTTTAAATGCCCAAGCAGACAAAATTGAACTATATGAAACTTTTGTAGCATAGTACCTCCCACGAGGCAGCAAGGTGAATTGTAAGTTTAAAGAAAGCCTGCACCAAATTAATTAAGAGTTAATAGCAAAGGCTTTTCAATCTAGCTAGCTTGATAATAAACCCTGCAAAATAATTTTCAAAATGCTTCTTTAAGGATCTTCTCTGCATTTCTTATTGTACAAGAGTTCCCTAGGGGAACTGGACTGGAAAGCCCTAGTAGGATTTTGCTACTTGGCAATGCCTCCACCTGCTGTCGAAGAGGAAAATTGTTATAATTCATTATTTCTTGGAGTATCTTCAAATAGCACTACTAGATTCAGGCTTCTGGAAGAAAGTGTCTTGGATCCAGACAGATTAGAACATATAGATCCTCCTCTCATGGAGTTCTTAGCCCCTGTAGAATATAGCAAAACCCTTTTATATTTGGAGTTTTACTGTATTTCAATCAATTTCCATATGTTGTCTGTATTTAGTAACATTCTTCCTTTAACTATGATGCCTTCAAGATCAATGGCATTATCCATGTCACAACAGAAGCAGGACTTTAAGAAACTATAGACATCCAGATATTATTCCTGACATCAGTTCTTACTCAGATATGGTCATTTATTTATTTTCAAACTGTTCTAAAAAAAGAGCATTTAGAAACCTGAATGTTTTATCCGTGAGGATTTAAATGCTAGAATTATTTGCCGTATTTTCAAAAGAAACTAAGTTTCCAAATAGAAGTGGCTGAATTTTTGGAAAATACTGAAACCTAGTCCTCAAAGGTTTTTAAACACCCAGATCATATTTTATTAAAAACCGTCCCTCTGAAATCAGCAGAAATTAGACACCTATCCACCAGTGAAAAGCTAGGCTTTAAAATTTTCCTTATGAAAATAACACATTTCTAAGGTGATGGAAACTGATCACCCAGAAGCACCAGTTATATTCAGAAATTAGACAAGCATGGCTACATTTTACCTATACATCGAAATATTTCTCTGTTTGAACCAGCTGGGGGAATCCAGTTAATTTTCTGTCTGTTTTGACTAAAGACCAGAAACTATTCTGATCTTCTTACTTTTAGGTAGTTATAGCCATTTTTACAGCAAAGTTTTTCTCCTTTGTAAACCTGTTTATGTCAAATAGTTAATTTTGCTCCAGGCTGAGGTTTGTGCAAGACAAATTAGGAGAAATTTTAAGTTGAGATGACTTTTGAAATTTTTTGCATAGCAATAGATGATTTATTTATTTTTTTGTTTTATTTTAGGAAATGCCAGCCTGTAAGGAAAGGCCTTTGGAAATAAAAAATGGTTTTATGTACAGTAAAGCTGCATGTCAACGGACTCGCAGTAACTCAACCAGTAAGTAGCAAAGAATTAATCTTTTCTCTTGTCACATGCAGGGAGTGCACAGCACTTCATCATGTGATGATACTGCAGTGTTGAAAGAAGCTACTGCTCTTGTCGAAATTTAGCCTGGGATTCTCAGCTAAGAATTGTTGATGCATAAAGGCCTCGTGATGTTTGTATATTCACAATATCGTGCAGTCAGGAGTTTTGGGCATAAGCATCCCATTTCATAATTTTTAAGGTGTGTTTTAAATAGGCCAGTAGTCCTTTGGTAGGGGATGTTTACTTTTTCTATATTTAACATTAATGGCTATCCCATAGTGAGGATTGAAAAGATGACTCCTTTTACAGATTTACATGAGGAAAACAATGTCTCTAATTAACATTTACCTGATAAAGTGAATAAGCAGACATGTCCAGCGCTTGAGAAATAACCCGGCCTGTCTCCCCGTTCGACAGGCGTAAGTCCGTACTGGGCGGGGGAGAAGGACTGCACAGCGCCCCGCAGAGCCGGGCCCTTCAGAGACCGGCAGCCCCACGCCCTCCCCACCGGCCACAAATCCCTCTCCCAACAGCTGGACAGCTCTGGAGGGAGGACCCCAGTAAGTGCTACAGGAACTCACCCGAGAAACAAAACTCCGTCTCCACAAAGACTCTCGCTGACCTTGGCAGCCATGTTTCCTGCCAAACCCACCTTCCTTGCAGGCCTGGTCAGGGAAGATGGCGCACACCTGCCTCCTCCACTTTTTAACCCCATCCCCCCTCTGTGAGGAGAAGGAGAAAAGGAAGGGCTCTGTGACAGCAAAACCCCATTTCTTCAGCAGCTTCTCCCTCCCGTTGCCCCAGTAGGTTTCACAGTGTGTGTAAATCCCCCTGTGTGGTTCATAGCAACTTGGCAGCCACCTGGAGCCACCTCAAAGCTCATCGCCAAAGAGGCCCTTCCCAGGCGTCCCCCTGCTGCTAGTCATGGAGATGCTCTGTGCATGTGGGCAATAAATCCCCAGCCTGAGCTTTGGGCCCTGATGCCACGAGCCTTTCAAGTCACCTCTGTTGGCCAACACATAGCCACAAGGGGTATGAACGCACTCATGGCTGGTAGTCACTGCCCTTGGCCACACTGGCCATGTGAGACCTCCCCATTCTGCCTCACATTTAAACAACCCTGATAACACAGGCTAGGGACTGATGGTCTCTTGTTCCTCAGATGAATGCCAAGCTGGGAGACCAGAGGCTGGACAGGATGGAGTATTTATGTGGGTATTTATGGCCAAAGCTCCCCAGGCTGAAACCTGGAGTGGGGACTTGGAGGTGAAGTTCCTCAAACTCAGCTGCCACCTCCTGTCCTGCCTGAAGCCTGCCTGGAGGACTTGCTGCTGCTCCCTTTTCTTTTTCTGGTCAGTCCCTCACCATGGGGGCACCACGCTCAGACAAAGTGAATGAATAGGGGTGGGGAGATGACAAACTGGAGCACAAACCCCAACAAAACAAGACTTGTGCAAACAGACAGACCCTCAGGGATTTGCTGGACTTCCTCCTCCCTGAAGGTCCTGCATGGGCAGATGCTGCTGTTGGCAGAGGCTCTTTCCAGCAAACCTGTTTTGTTTGGGTATTGTTACCCACCACATGCAGAAATACAAAATACATCCTTTCACACAGAAGCAAAAGAAATTTGAAAACTTCCTATTTCAGATTCAGAAGACCCACAACAGAATAAGCAATAACAGTAATACAGCAGAGGTAAACTTTTTGCAGTGTATTTTTAGTATTACACAGATGTTTCCCTTTTGTTCATGTTCTCAATCATATGTTGAATAAATAATCTTGTTTTCATGTCAGATTACAAGACTTATTTTCTCACATATGCAGAAGCTGAAATTTTGGCCAATGCTCCACACACTTCAACACCTGTTAGTTTCACTTTGCTGTATTTTGAAAAGTCTTGAACACTTGGACTTGTAATGAGAGCAATTAACTCTGGCCCTACTCAACTTCATGCATAGTTAGCTTTAGTTAATTACTTTTGTCAGTGCTTAAATAAGTTGGTAATACCCAATTCCATGTTCAAATATGATTTTTTCATTAAAAATTTAATGAAAAGTTCATCAAAATAGGTCAGAACTTAGGGGCTGGAGTTAAGAAATCCAGTCTCTGTGGAATGGAGGGAGGAAAAACACAGAGAAATTGCTTACCTTGGTTTTCAAACAAAAAGGCTGGGCTTCACCTCTCAGCAGTAGAAAGAAGCACGTAGTGGCTTAACAGAGGCAACACAGGATTAACCACTTGAAGAACTTTTATGGGTGCTAGTTCATATTTTTTGGGAAACCCTGAAAACAGGTTCTATTTGTTCCAAGATAAAACTATTTAGTTGCAAGATGAGGGAAAGCATTAGAATTTCTTGCTCGTTAGTTCAGTTCTTAGAGGTAAATGTGGTAATACTTTTTAAGGTACTCTTAATGGCCACAAATGAGAACACATGGAGGATCAAGTGGGAGCACAAATACATCTTTCTACACCATTGCACCACTTCAAGGGCCAACATTCTAGTTTTGCTAGTCACTGTAGGACAATTTCAGCAAGCAGTGACTGTCTAAATAACAAGTGGCTTCTAAAAATTAGAGAGAATGGATTTTTTTCTTTCAATCTTAGTACCATCAGTCATAAGGAGAAAAATCTGAAATAAACAGGTTGTCCTAATCCATGTCCAAGAATTTCTGGTTCTGCATTAAAATGATTTTTTGTTGCTGTTATGTTCACAGGCAATCTCGAGGCCATCTAGATCACTAAGTACAGCACAGCTAGTGCACACATCCTGTGGCTCACAGGCTTCAGTAATCTCAAACATCGTATTGATGAAAGGACAAGGGAAGGTAAGACTGGTTCTGCTGACTTACCAGTAATCTGCAAAGTGCAGGGAATTGACTTCAGGTATTAAGGTTGTTACTTCTGGGCTGTCAATTCATATCTGGGCTTTGCCAAGAGTGATTTGTTATTCACGTGCTTCTTAACATTCTGAATTATGTCTTTGCTGAAGCAATTTTCAGGTTCTAGTAACACATCCACATCAAGCTAGCAACACACTGACATTCACCACTACCCTTTCTGGCAGCTGAAGGTAGGCTTGAAGTCATAGACTCTGTGTCATCTGTAAGTTGCACTAACACAGCAACCTTAGAGCTCCCTTCAAGTCAGAGTTGAGCAAGTTCTGTTAAGAAGGAAAAAAAGAGATACCTGGAATACAAAATACCTCAACTAAAACAAACAAACAAACAAAAAAACATTCACAGAAAACAGTGAAGTCTGGAGAAAGACAGAATATAGATGTATCTACAAAAGTAATGTTACCGAAGATGCTTAAAAAGATAATACAGAAGCTATGAGCTTAAACACACAGCTTTTGAACTTGAATAAGGTTCTGAATCTGTTAATTAATAACCTTTTCAGTTAAAATATTTAATATTTTGTTTATAACTATTTAAGCTATGAGATGACTCTTGGAAACCATTCTATAAAGTATAATCGTTATCAACATCATTTACAAAAATAATAATTCATTATCTGTATTTTGGAAGCCTATGAGGATGTCATCAGCATGGTACTTTCACTTTTCATTAGAGGGTCATAAAATGGCTTCAGAGATGTGAATTAGTCTTGTAACATCCACCTAAGGGTAGCAGGTAATGTCTGACTTTTATATAAGGGGAGGAAGGGCAAAGATCAAGTACACAAGAAGTATCTATGAAGGGTCTATTGGTGTTGCTTGAATTTACAACATGCATTAACTGTTTAGTAGAGGGTGAGATATCTCCATGAGATCTCCATTTGTGTCTCTGAAATTAGTAGTAGTATAAAGATCTTATAGGGTGTGTTTTATCAATCTCATTTATGGGAGAGGAAATTAAGGAGAAGAACAGATAAACTAATCTCTCAAGGCAGCTTATTGTTTCAAGGATTAAAAAAAAAAAAGTGATACTTTCCTGTGTGTTTATAATAGTAAATTAATTGATTACAACAAACTAAAAGCAATTCATGACCATGTTCTGCTTAAATTTTAATTTGCTTTTACTACTGGTATGTGGTTGACTATTTGTCCATGGGTTGTACTTCTCTGACTAGTACTGCCTATGTAGCAATGCAGAAGCAACTGCAAATGCACTATTCATGATAACTGAACACAGGCTCTCACACAGTCTTTCTTTCATAAATTAGGGTCTGGGCTTCAGTATTGTTGGAGGGAAAGACAGCATTTATGGACCAATAGGCATCTATGTCAAAACCATCTTTCCTGGTGGGGCTGCTGCTGATGATGGAAGGCTACAGGAAGGTGGGAAATCCCTCTTCTCTCCCTTTTCCTATGCCAGATTCCAAAAGAATGATAGTTAAAGGCAGATTGAAGTGAACTGAGATGAGCCATAAGTAACTTTGAGACTTGCACCCATTATTGTGTTTGCAAGACCTGTTTTGAGCACATGTATGTATCATGTAACATTGCACAAGAGTGATAACGGTGATAGTAACATAGTACAATTTTTCTCTTAAAAAACAGGTGATGAAATCCTGGAGCTGAATGGAGAATCCATGCATGGATTAACACATTATGATGCTTTACAAAAATTCAAGGTTACGTACTCTCAGACCAATTTCTGTCTTTACACACAATGTGCATGTGAACTCAACCCATTCATTCCTTATCCTTTCCTTCTAGCAGGCCAAAAAGGGTCTTCTGACACTTACAGTCAGGACAAGCTTCAGTACGCCTCATTCTGCTTCCAGCTGTCTGTCACCCCAATTATGTCAGTCACTGAGTACATGCATAACCAAAGAAAACAGCTCTTTCAGTTCAGAAAGTGCAGCATTCTCATTAAATGCTACAAAGCCCAACGACAGGGTCATAATGGAAGTTATCTTAAACAAAGGTAAGTGCTAAAATTAACTGAGTACTGAGAAACAAGGCACTGATTGACAAAACACTGTTCATTTGCTCTCTGAATGTCTTTCCTCACTAACCTGATTCTTTTCCTGAACTATGGGGTTTTTTTTAACACACTAAATTAGATCTTGGTGCCTGGCAGTGCTAATAACTATCTCTCAACAACAGGATTTTGAAAACCATCTGTCCTCAAGAGCAAATCATTCATTTTTTTTCACTCGAGCATTAAAATCACACTCATATCCTTCATGTGAAAAAGTAAACCTCTTGGCAACAACTACCAATTATTAAGCAGATTCAACTCTCACCAGTAGTCATGCAGGTGGTTTCATTCTTGAAAGGGCTTAAAACCAAATAAAATACATATCCATATCATTTTGTAGTTATTTCACCTCCTCTCCAACTGTCATCGTCTTCTATTTATAAACAGGCCCTATCAGAATGAAATAACCTCTTAAATAATGGGAACATCAAAGCAGAGAACAAAGCAAAGTCTCAGAGAGGTAACATGGCTTACCAAACACACAGTATGGGGTCTGACATCAGAGTGATTGTCCAGAGCAAAGAGGGTAAATTCACAAAAATATTAAACTGTATTACATAAAAAAGAAATGGGATTGAGATGATATAACAAACAATAGCCACACCTCCTTAATTTTTATTTGTTTTTTTTTTCCTGACTATTTCTCTTTCCCCCTCCCCCGTCTCCTTGTAAAGTCATATGAATTCTTCTGGTATGACAGATATTTTGCAAAATAAATCTGCACTGCATTGTGTCTGTGACACACCAGTAATGAATTGCAAACCAGATCTTGGAACCCCACAAGCAGTATTGGTGTGCCCCTACTTTAATCATGAAGGGAAAAAGTAGAAAGGAAGGAAAAGGAAAAAAGCAGCAGCTAATATTGAATGTCAGACGTTCATCAACACAAGACATTGGTTCTGGTTTGTATATAAAAAAAAAATAAATTTAAGACAGTTTTTTTTTTAAAAAAGATGGCTTCAATAATTTGTTTTGATCGCTTCTTATATTTTTTTTTTTTTCTTAATTCTTTCAGAGCCAGGTGTTGGCCTTGGAATTGGGTTATGTAGCATCCCTTACTTCCAGTGTATTTCAGGGATTTTTATTCACACCCTCTCACCAGGCTCCGTGGCACATATGGATGGGAGACTCAGGTAGGATGAGAAAGATTGCCTGTCTTATGCCACAAATTTTTCATTGCTGTGGTTTATGGGTTTATTTTTGACCTGTTTGGGCAGCAAGTCATAGCAATTTCTATGAGTTTGGGGTTTAAAGCATACACACTATTCTGAGTGTTTGAGCATGTGTGTTCAGAATACTTGGAATTTCCATATACATACATATATATATGTGTGTGTGTATATATATATCAATCAACCCAGAGAAATTATTGTCCCTTGTGCAGGTTGGGCTAGCTTTGAATGTCTTAGGAAAGTATATAGTGCTCTTCCTGGAAGAGGTTTCCAAATGAGAAAATATCCAGAAAAAATCCAAACCTATGACATAATCTGTATAGTTTGAACACTATTTTTTTTCTGATACAAACTCCTCTAATTCTATCCCTTCTTGCCCAACAGAAATAAAGGGTTTTTTCTCTGAAGTAAGTTTTAGGGGTAATTGTAGTGTAGAAATTCACTTTGTTAGATTTACAACAAATAAGTAATGCTGAACCTATTTAGAACTGAACAGAACACAGCATTTTCAGTAAAAGATTTTTGATTTAATTTTAAGTGGTCTGTAACTGTCCTTTCTACATGCCTAAGACTTTAGCTAAAAGAACTGTGGTCTTAAACTGTTTTAAAGTTTGTATGATACAAATCAGTGCCTTCAGTCAGCCTCTTATTGTACATAGGTGTTTGCAGTAGAGGAGAGAAAGATTCTCAGTTTCTTTGTGGGTCAAGTTCAGGTTTCATCTAGAAAGAGTCAGTCTCGCAGTGAGCAGGACTACAATAGTTTGCCATTAGAATTTTTCTGTTAAGAAGTTATTAATATGTAGCAGAAACACAACACCCTTTCTGACTTTAAAACTAGCAGACCATAAAGACATGAAAAGTGAACTTGAAAGGAAGGAAGGAAGGTGTAGGTGGAGTAGCTGCTGAAGTGCACACAGCAGAAAGATCACACTCACAAAGTGTGCATAGCTGAGCATGAAGAAAGCTCAAAGATTGCATGCAAAGTTTGCAAGGCAGCTAGATCAAAAAAGACCCTTGGCATCCAACTCATTCCCATTGCATTGTTTGTAACAGGAACAGAGAGACAATTATTTTATCTGTGATTCAATCAGAGGTCAACCACATGAATTTGCTCTTTGTATACTTTCACATGGCTGAGACAAGATTGGGAGAAAACCTGTTTCATTTATATCCTCACTCTTTTTTATTATCTCTGCAGGTGTGGAGATGAAATTATTGAAATTAATGAAGCTTCAGTACAAAATATGACTCTTAATGAAGTGTATGCTGTCCTAAGCCATTGCAGTCCTGGTGCAGTGCAGATTATTATTAGCAGACACCCTGAACCGCAGGTAGCACCCTCTGTGTTCTTTGACTTTCAATAAAAAACATATTGAGAAGTGAGAGAGCAAGTGCTAATCTAAAACAGGGGGGAAATTGTTGATAAAGATGTTGATCTCTTTATAAGCATCACTGCCCACAAACCTGAGATATGCACTGTCTTCAGAATAATAATGCAAGATTTGAGGATCATTGGAGGCAGTCTTGCATGAGTTTCTGTTCTGTCAGTAAGGAAGCTACAGTAATAACATTTAAGGAATAAATAAAAAAATGTATTTCTTATACAAGAAAGGATTCCCAGTAAGTAAATAATTTGAAAGTAGGAATACACTCCCCAGAAAGAAATGTTTTTATATACCCATCTTTCAGTAAATAAAATTTAGGTCTTGCCAAGCTAATATTTATAGTTAAATTAATATTAAAGAAAAATATTTTATTCTCACAAGCTTTTTCTAAAAAATGCTTCCTAACATCAAATACCGTAGAAATTATTATAAAATTTAAATTGTTGCATAAATTATAACTAAAACATGGTACTAAATTATCTTATGCTGGTAAATCCAGAACTCCGTGTCTACTGAAGTATGCAAAAGAACATTTATCTTTGAAAAATCCCATTTCATCCAAACTACCAATATAAACAGCACATCCATAGATATATTTCACCTATACTGGAATATATACAAATATAACGGTGTGCACTTACTTAGCTTTAAAAATAACTGATATGTGATATAATTAGGTTTATTCATTTCCATTAGAGGACTTGCAGGACTTGGAAGTCTTTGTGAAAGGAATAAACATTTAAGTGTTACTCGTCACCCCACAGCAATCTCATGAGAGTATAATGCCATGATATTTCCCAGGTGTCTGAGCAACAGCTAAAAGAAGCTGTTGCACATGCCGTGGAAAACAACAGATTTGGAAAGGAGAGACACCACTGGAGTACTGAAGGTAAGGCAGTAAGTGCATTCACACTGAGACATAGTAACTTTGACTTAAAAGATATACAGGATGAATACATGCTTTATGAGAATCCTTGGCAACAGTCCAGTAACCCAGAGCAGAAAGGATGAGGAGGAAACCTCACAGGATAACGCTCCTGATGTGCCACCTAAGATACATTAGCAGAGGGACGAGGAAAGAATACTGTCTGATCACCAACAAAAGTTTTGTGCAAACTTCCTTTCCCTGTTGCTCATCCTTTCCAATTGATAACCTCTGCTTAAAGCTCTTCAAACAACTGTCAGTAGATGACAACACTATGATAGCAAAGAACTGCACATTGCAGGTGATGTCCTGGGGACAAGCAGCTTGTTAATCCCCCTGTAAGGCATATGCAGTCATGGTTAGAGCTGTTTGCCCAGTTCAGGTATGACATCCCACAGTAACATACTGCAATGATACTCCTTTTAGCATCCTCATTTCTACTAAAGGACTAATGGTAACAGAATCACCATCAGTAAAACTCCACTGCTGATATAGAGAATTGTAGACTCTAATGCATAAATCATACCTTTGCATCAACTGATAGTGGTATTTGGCTGCAAATGTAACAGCTAAATCTTAAAAGCAAACACTTTGCATGTATCTGAATAAACATTTTTAATATGTTCCTGATACAGGTGTTAAAAAACTAGAAACAAGCTGGCATGGAAGACACCCATGTGAAAAATATATGGAAAGGAATGCTGCTCATGGCAGCCACAGGTCACAGAAGCTAATGACCCGCTCCAGCAGTGACAGCAGCTACAACCCTAGGTCCTCATGTAGCAATGGTGCTGCATACCAGCTGATTGACCTGAAACCAAGAGTACACAGCATTGATGTACCAGTCACCAGACAACCTGGCCTGCTGCACTCACTGTCTGGTAATAATTCAGAGAGGAATTCCCCTCCTACTTGTAGTGAGCGGGGTCAACCCTTGCAAAACATGAAGAAATCCTCAGAGATCCTCGTTAGAAAACCCAAATCATCAAAGCCCAAACCTCCACCAAGGAAATACTTTAAACAGGACTGCACATGTAATGACCAGTGTAATGCAGACAGAAAAGAAAAGCTGGTATCAGAATTGGCTGTATCACACTCTGCAAATATTCGGGTAAAGCAAAATTTTCAGAATTTTCCTTGTATTTGCATATTTGTGAGGCAGGGGAAGGGGGAAGGCAAAGTGACTTTGTATGATAACAGGAAGAAGGGCAAGGAAGAAATATGTGTGTGAGGACTGGGGTGAGGGGATGGGGCTCTTCTGTTTTGAAAATAACTTGTATCTTAGCCAGTTCAGTAGCCAGGATGAACTTGAGTCCCTCACTGTCATTCCTTGTCAACGTGTGCCATTGGTGGTATCAAGCACCCTCTGGTTCCAGTACAACTGGAACAGTGATGTGCTCTGGGCTGGGACTGGAGCAGTTTACACAGCTTCATACTGTTGATCCTGACCTCAACACACACAAAATCAAATTATTTGTAAAGTAGAGAAGTTGTGAAGGCATTTTTTTGTTTCGGTAGTGGATTTTTATTGGAAGAAAGCACTAACACTATGTACAGCAGGTAATCTTGGGCTCGTATACGGTTCTTGAGACCAGGAGGTACGAAAGAAACTCATTTAAATTTAAGGCACATGCCTATTTGTTGATGAACTACAGTATTTGAAAATTGAGTGTGTAATTGTATGTTACTAAATTTCAGTTCCTTCTCTTATCTGGCATAAAACAGAAAGACAATGTTTCACATTTGCATGAGTGTGAGGGACTGTGAGATCTGCATGTTGAAACGAAGTTGTGGTTTGTTTAAAAATGAAACCTCTGGGTTTAGTAATATGCCAGTAAAAATGAACAAATATCAATGCAACACAAAAAAAAAAAACAAAACAAAAAAAAACAACAAAACCCAAACCCCCTCCAAATCAGTTCCCACACTTCAGAGATCAAAATAAAATGGTACAGCTTGGACTGAAGTCCATGTACAAAGTTCACATTGAACAAAGATTCAATTCAGCACCTCATGTAAGGTCACTCTTTTACCATCCCCTAAGAAGAGAGGAGTAGAAACATATTTATCAACAGCTACTAGAAAATCACCTTTCAGAAGTAAAATTCAGAGAAATAAGTACTTGTTGAACTTACCACTGCATGCAACATAATTTCTTCAGTACTCAGTTATTCTAAGTGGTAAGGGAAAAAAAAATAAATCTTAAGATCAATAAAGTTCATGAAAAGTCAAGATACCTTCCCCTAGTAAGTGAGTCTATATACCTCAGAGCAAGAGCTCCATTAAGTCCCCAGGAGAGAGAATTTCAGAAAGTATTTCAGATTGTTAAGAGAAGGTTTTATTATTGCTTTATGATTTGGAGGGGTTTTTGTTTGTTTGTTTTTTAACTTTTATTCCCCAAACATTTTGTATTGGTCAGTTTGAGGCCTGCAAACCAGTTTTATGGGGTTTCTGTAGACTGTAAGTTTGCTTTTTCATAACCAAGAGTTCTTAATTGATATTTTCAACTGTGCTTTAAACTGCATCAGTAAAAAGGTAGGTATAACCTGCCATCAGTAAAGAGTAAGATCACACTGTATGTTCACAGTGCTTCCAAACTGGCTTCTTTGGTTACTGAACACCCAACGTCCATGTCTAACAGCAACAGAACACAAGTGCAACTTCCAAGAAGGCCCCTAGTGAAGAGGGAGGGGGTGGAGAAGGGTGTCCCTAGAATAAGAAAGTTGCACAATATACACAACCCCATGACAGAAAAGCTAAGAAGTTGTTCAGTTACTGATTTTTCAGGCTAATATAATTTGTTTCTAGACCTTCCCTCTCTGTCCTGTTTATTTTTGGTTCATATTAGTAAGCCTGAAGCTTAATACATAGCAGAGAGTACTTCAAGTGCCACAGCAGAGCAGTGGTAACTTGGTATTGTTGGTTACAGTTGAATCAAGTAATTCCAGAGCATGTGTTAATAATGTTGAGAATGGCATTTATGACAACCTCAGACTAATCCACTCAACCCATGTTTCCAGCCAAAACCAAAAAAAGAAAGAGCTCTGAAACTGCAGTAATTATTTAGCTTGTCTAACTTGTGCTTAAGGGCAAAAGGCTTCAGCAGAATAGAGAATTTAATATGAAGTTAGAGGACATTTGCTTGAATGGTTTGCAACAGTCTACTGAATGACTAATTTCAGAAAAAACTGAAATTATAGTGGGCTGTATTTTAGTTGATAATAAAGGTCACTACTATGCTACTACTACATTTTTGAGATGTTAATTACATTTTTTTCATAGTCTGTTTATGAATGTAACCATAAAATATCATGCTGGCACTCTTGAAATATAGCTTAAATTAAGCTCTATGAGGATTATACCCCAAGCAGAAGTGAAAGCTTGATTTCTATCCAATATTTCTTTTCAGATTAAAAACAAATGAAATTTTTTTTTTGGTGGTGGTGGTGGTGGGGTTTTTTTTGGTTTTTTTGTTTGTTTGTTTGTTTGTTTTGGATGGTTGGTTGGTTGGGGGTTTTTTTGTGTGTGTGTGTGGGTTTTTTTGGTTTTTTTTGTATTCATGTATAGTGTAGTTTGTAGTTTGTATAATTACATTCTGACACATTTTTATTTCCTGTTTGTTCATCAGGAAGTTGGAGAACCAATGCTAGAGGGACCTCACACTGATGTAACCCACAGTGTCTTTACCACTTCTCCTAGAGCATATGATTCTGAACACATAACTGCTGCACCAGCAGGCAGAGAACAAGAAAGAAAAGCAAACCTAGGTATGTTTAAATTTTTTTTTTTTTTTTTCCCAGATAAAGCTAGAGTTTAGTTTGGATTCTAAAATGTGTATCAGGCTGACTTCAAATTTCTCTTTAAACATAGACTTTAACCCATACCTGTACATTTTGGGGTGAACAGATGAAATTTCAAATTATTGATTAATCTTTGCAAAACGGGAAACTATATCAAAAGAAGCATAATAGATGATTTATTGTAAAAACTTGTTAATAGACAGCTACACTATTGCTGTATTTCTTCAGTTGAAACTTCTTATATTAAAATTTTTATACTAAAGTTTAGTTTTAGCATTTCTAATGGACATTTTTTAAAGGACACAGTTTCAAGGCTCAAGTGTTGCAATGGTACAAAGCACTGATCATAAATTAGCATTTCATTGTGCTAATTAGAATGAAGGGAACAGTGCTAAGGGAACTAGCTGATCTCAAGAAGTCTCTTCTTATTAAGAAATAATAATGAATAATGATTATGAAATCATTACATTATTTTGTATATTCTAGCTCAGATTAAAAAAAAATAATGTTGCCTTTAATAATATCTATTTTTGTTTACACTGAGGCAGGTAACAGTAATTGTCCAACTGAACAAACAAAAGTATACTGTCATCCAGCTCTACCATGTCTAACATTAAAATGCTTAATTAGTCTGTGATTTAAAACTATTCCTAAATTAGAATTAAATTTTTGCTTACTAGAAAAATACAATTAGAAATACCTGCACAAATTTAAGGAAGCATGAATATTAATCAAAGATCTTCATGGGAGAGTCTTTTTAGAGTACGATATACTTATAGGAAAGAAAAGTAATTTTTAAAATTACTGTAACAACAGCTTTTGCACTAGGCTGCAAACAACGTTGCAATTTTAGCCTTTTATTTTAGCTGTTATAGCCAACATCATGACTATAGCACCCCAGAATTCAGGTTAACTTTAGAAGTTGCAGGCCCTTTAGAAAAGGGATCTTGTACATAAGCAGAAAAGAGCCTTGTTTTTCAGTTAACTTCAGAAGAGTTGTGAATTTCAAAAAAAGTTCCATCTTTTGAAATCTTTTTAGAAACTTAAAAAAATACCTATTTGAGCCTTGAATGAAGTTCAAATTTAATGAATTATTAACAGTACATTGATAAGGGATGGAGAAGCAGAAGGATTGTTTATAATCAATGTTTCTCTAATGCAGGAAACCCACTTTCATCAATACAAAGGCCTATACTTAAAAGACAAGCACGGGTTGATTATAGTCTTGATAGAACGACAGAAGACCCTTGGGTTAAAATTTCTGACTGCATAAAAAGTTTATTTAATCCTACCATGAGTGAAGACAATGTCCACTTAGATTTGCAACCTGGCACTGACACAAAGAAAAATCGAAGCAGCTCAGAGACAGTTCTGAAGAAATCAGACTCGGAATTAGTGGATTCGAAAGTGCTAAAATCAGATGAAAACGACAGTGTGAAAAAGGGTCCTCCTGTTGCACCTAAGCCAGCCTGGTTTCGCCAAAGTCTGAAAGGATTAAGGAAAGCAAATTCAGGTCTAAGAACACAGGCAGATCAAAGTCCTCCCAACTTTCGAAGCATTTCCAGCAAAGAACTGCAAACAAGCTTATCCTGTGTCTCTCCTAGGGGATCATCAATAAAACAAAGAATAAGTTCTTTCGAATCCTTGAGCGCTCCACAGTCACCTGAAAAGATACACCGAAGATTTAGTCTGAAACCATCAGTGCAGAAAGAACGCTCTCCCACTGCAACAGGGCCAGGGGCAGCTCCAGCCCATTTGAACCAAGCCTTTCACCAGCATTGTGAAACTAGCCAACAACAGCCACCTGTGGTCATGGGCACAAAGAGCCTAGATAGATCTTCCTCTCCCAGGGAGGTCCCTGTGGCTAACTCAGAAAAAAGGAACAATGCCACCACTGAAAACTCCTCGGGTCTCTTAACTACAGAAGCCATTGCAACTTCCCACCTTGTATCAGTTGCAAAAACACACAGCCTACGATCACGAAGCTTCCCACTTACTGCTACCCAGTCTTATGAGATGATGAAGCCATACGATGAAAAGTGTAGCAAAATCTACTCCATCAGTAGCCAGGTGTCATCTGCTTTAATGAAATCTTTGCTTTGCCTTCCTCAGTCTCCAGCATCTTCTGGAAACAGCACATGGGAAGCTCTGGACACCTTGTCTCAGTCCTCTGTGGAGGAGGATGGGACTTCTCCCTCCTCCGCAAGTGAGAATCATCACCTGGACACAGGTTTCTCTCTAAAGTAAGATACCATATTTTAAATTTACATTTACAGTTCAGCATCTGTGCTGATCCACTGACAGATTAACATTCTAAGGTGGTAGCATGCAACAGTAGCATGACTGTTACACTTGCTTTTAATTTGTGCTAGATAAGCGATTTCAGACTTCCTCCTACTTAAGGAGGAATATTTCTAATAATATCTCCATGATAAAGGAAATGTAAATCTGTTTTTGTCTGAAGCCAAGAGATTGTTCCTATTCTTTTGTGTGATGGATTCTACTTCTGTCAGGCTAAATAATTAATTTACACTTGAATATTTTGACAAAACCTACAGGACCTACCACCTCAACTAAATAATAATATCAAAAGATGACTGCTCAAAAATTGTGCTATGCTTTTGTGGGTATGTTCTTTCATAACTCAACGTTTCTTTTTTATTCTTGCCACAATGGGACAGCCTCTCTGAGCTGAGAGAATACACTGTGAGCCTAGCAGAAAATGAGAGGGAGGAAGAGAAACAGGAACACGACTCACCTCAAGCATCCGGTGTGTCAGGGCAGTCTGTCATCTCTCTGCTTTCCCCTGAAGAGTTAGCAAAGCTTATAGAGGAAGTCAAAACACTAGACGAAGCAACCTTAAAGGTAAATCTGCTGCTTCTTTTTAAATTTTTCTTTTTACAGGAAAGCTTTGGAGTGAATACACCTGGTTAGTCTTTGCAGCTTGATATTACCACAAATAAAACAGTCATCTCAATACATACCAGTAGTGATGTTGAGCTCTTTTGATGAAAAGTCTTGAAGAAGTCTTAAAGATAACTAAGCAAGAGTAACACACATTTGACTAATAGGAAAACAGTCATTCAGTAGGTAAGGTCAATGCTTGCAGAAGTAGGCGTTGAGGTTTTTAGGGCTTTCTTTTTATTTGGGCTGCCAGTCTGAGAAACCCAATGCCTCATTTTTGGGATGCTGAGCAACCTTTAGTCTTATTAGATTAATCTAGATTATGATAGAGCTCAGAATAAGTAAAAATCAAGGTTAAATATGTGCATGCCAGAACTATAAAGAGTTTTGAAGACTGCTCACACTCAAATTAAAAGCAGATTACATCCAGAGCTCTGCACTGAAAATAGATCAGCTTTGGCCAGCAGCTACGTGCTTGCTGTGTGAAGACACACCAAACTGTGGAAAAGAAGCTTAACTGCATTGATGCACCAATGAGCCTAAACTAATATAGTTTTTGCCTCTTAGCTAACTGCAGTGGCAGGTCTCCCAGATTAGTCCTGATTTATGTCTGTACTGCGTGGAGCATGGGCAGTGAATTCACATCTGCCTATATATATGAGAATACTATTCTCATATTCTTATGTCAGACACAAATCCCTACTGAATACAACAAACTTTGCTAGCATTTTGCAACCAAAAAGCAGTTTAACAAGCAGAATTTATGAAAGACAAGTTTTGTATTAATTTGTGCTTCTTGTCAACATCCATGTTGATATTTTTGGTCTAATTAGCAGTAAAAGCTATGTTGCAATGTTTCCCTCAGTGGGACATTACCCTGTCTCACATCAAATTGTTTGTTTTCATGGAATTTTCAGGACAATATGAGCAGCACATATGCTCTGCCTTGTTGCAGCTGGCCAGTAGATTCAATTGTGGAAGAAAACAAGACACAACAGCAAAAGACAACTACAATTGCTCACATACTGAATCTGTAAAATAGAAGTCAAGAAAGACATGTTTCCTTAGGGAACTAGGTTAAACAGGAGCAGTTGCCCTGTATAGACTCATCTTTGGGATAACACAGTCAGAGACAGCTTACTCTACCTGTTGGACATTGTTAAAAAATAGAAATATAAATGAGAAACAATCCTTAATCTGTGACAATTGTATCCTTCTGAGTTGCATGCCAAATTATTTTTCCACTTTTTCAATTAAAATATCCTCTAACATGATTCAGCAACATTTTTGGTTTCTACAGTACATGATATCCATACTCTTTAATATAATTCAATTTATGGTCCAGATCCAACTGGTAACCTGTTCACCAAACCAGAACAACTTAAGACACAAAATACATTTTATAAAGTAATTGAGAGGTAAATTTGATCAAAACCAAATACTAAAACATGTCTCAGTATTATGCTTATGCCATAACTCTCATTATCAAATGCACAGTAGACAAAACAAAACCACGCTGACTTTCCAGTTATCTTGACCTGTCTTGACTTTCTTTATCTGCCTAGGAATTGGATGATATACATGTTACAATTTTGCATAAAGAGGAAGATACTGGGCTTGGATTCAGCCTGGCTGGGGGCATTGACCTAGAAAACAAAGCAATCACAGTAAGTAGCATCTTTCTTACAGAAGTATTACAAAAACAACTACTCTATCTAAAAACATATAGCTTACTGATTTTCTGCTACAGAGATTGGCTTTTAGCATAATCAAACTAGGTAATTGTACTGATAGAGTGAGAACAATCATGGTCTTAATGGGTAAAAACAGGATCCTCCTGCACAGAGCTACCTTCTCCAGGGGATTGGCAGTGGTGTCCTCTTTTCTTGGGCACCAGTCTCTCCATTAGGTCTGAAAACTGAGGCAGAACAACTGAACAACTTCCTCAGCTGGAAGTAGCCAACACTTTATTCACATGTTCCTAGAAGGCCATGCAGGGTAGTCAGGGGGAATGAGGTGAGCACGTAGACACGTATGAGGTCTGGAAGGTAGAGACTGCCTGCATTCCTTCTTTCTCCCACTAGCAGAGCAGTAAGAAGGTCAGAAAATTGCATAGGCAAGGTACATACCAGGGCAGCAAGGCTTTGGTGATCTGATACTGAAGCTAAACTAATTGCATAGCTGCTTGAGGAGGGCTGTGCACTGGAGAACCTGTTTGTACAAATTCATTCAACCCTCATTCCTGAAACACGCTAGAAGCCACTTGTCCCTGGCAAAGAATGGAAAAGGCATAGAGTGAAAAGTATTAACTGATTTAGTGATTTGTCAATTTTTCTTCTTTCCTTGTGTGTGTGTGGTGACTGGGCTCTTCAATAGGTTCACAAAGTGTTTCCCAATGGACTAGCATCTCAGGAGGGGACTATTCAGAAAGGAGATGAAGTACTATCCATTAATGGAAAGTCTCTTAAAGGTGCGACTCACAACGATGCCTCAGCAATCATGCGACAGGCTCGGCAACCCAGACAAGCTGTTGTTGTCACTAGAAAAGCCAAAGATGGAGAAAGATATCTCAATGTCTCAATCAACTCTAGTACAGCTTCAGTAGCAAGTGATGCCTCACAAGAGTCTGGTGAGTAAGTAAGTTCAGTGGCATTACCTTGCAAATCTCAAGTGCTGTTTATCTGAAATATGGGTGTTCATGAAACAGCTCAGCATTGGCCTTGTAAGCCTGAGAGCTGTGATTAAAGACATCATGGTTAAAGTAACATTCCTAAAACAGACATTTAGAATAACTTTGTTGGAAAGAGAAAGCATTCATGGATTACTAAAATGAACCCTCTGAAATAAACCAAACATGTCCTCTGTATGAATTTTGGTAGACATACAAAGATTATTACTATAGTAACACAACTAATTGAAGGTATAATGACAACTCAGTGAACAGTGATTCTTTATTCTAATATTATTAGATTCTAGTTTACAAGACTTTCTTTATAAAAGAGAGTTTCTGTTTGAACAAACAAAGTGCTATTGTTTTTTATAGCAGGTGGCTACATCTGAAACAAAGTCAGATTTTTGCAAAACTTTTAAGGTATTTTTCTGATTTGTTTTCTTTTTTTTTTTCCCTGAAGTATGATCTGGAGACCTGCTCATATGTGCTGAATATAAACATTAGTACCTTTGTAGCTGATTCTGACAGAAATTCACACACAGCTTTCTCTCTCCAGCTTCACAGAGGGCCTTACAATAACAAAAAGAGGAATTAGAAGTTAGTTTTCTCTCTTATTTGGCAGTTTATGGTGTCTTTGCAAACAAAACAGGAATTCATTTTTTATGACAGATGTTTTAGCTCTTCAGACTATGCTAACTTTCCATTTGTTTCCAGCACCTGAAGATACAATCTGCACAGTAACTCTGGAAAAAAGACTTGCTGGTTTAGGATTCAGTCTGGAAGGAGGGAAGGGCTCTATCCATGGAGATAAACCCATCATTGTCAATAGGATATTTAAAGGTAAACAAACTTAAATGCATATACAGCAAGCTCTTAGCCAAGGCAAACATGCAGTTTCATATCTGACTGCTGATTTATACCCTGAAAACAGTATTTTTTTGTAAATGCAGCATTATCCTCTGCAGTGCCAGTGATTTGTTGCCTGCTGAGACCAGGTGGTTTATACCAAACGTGCTGGTGATCCTTAGTAAGTGAAAGATACATTAAAGCCTTCTCCACACAAAGAATTAAAAGGAGTTAATTTTCTTTCTCCAGGGACTGCATTAGAACAAAGCAGCCCTGTTCAGCCTGGTGATGAGCTACTACAAGTGCACACAACTGCCATGCAAGGACTCACTCGTTTTGAAGCATGGAATATAATCAAGGCATTACCTGATGGGCCCATCACAGCTATCATCAAGAGGAAGAGTCCAAGCAGCGTTACCACCAAGTCTGAAACTTTGTAAGAGGAGGAAGTAGACTACTGCCAATATTTTGAACAAAAAAGGATTTTATTATTTGCAGCCATTTGGCTAGCACAGCAAGATAATCAGAAAGTGCATATGAAAAGTATGCATGATCTTACTGGCAGTTACAGAGCAAGCTGTCTGGGATAAAACAAAATGTGCATAAAATGTGCATGATCCAACATTCAGAAGCAGATGTTACAGAGTGTAGAATTATAAAATAATGACTTTAATAATATACTGGTTGCAATAAAGTACGTGACAACCATAGTACTCTTCTATTTTAAGCCATTAATTTAACAAACTTCACAAGCACATTCTGTGCAGTTTTCAGTCCTCCTCCACAAGTCTTGCTCCCTGCCCTACCTTCCCTGAAGAAACGTGTCTACAAGCCTGCAACTAAACACTGCCTTAGAACATGCGTAAAGCCTTAGAGAACATGTAGAAGGCAGAGAAAGGGAGTTGCCAATTTGTGTGTCAAAATGACAATGTGCCCTGGAAAACTCCTGCTTTTCTATTCAAACCACACAACATCCAAGACAGCCAAACCCTGTCAAGCTAACTTTCTGCTAGCAGTTGACAGAGCCATCTCAACTCTAGCAGGCAAACACGGAGTGGGAGGGGAAAGGAGTGTCAGTATAGCAAGGGTGAGGCAGGAAACTGAGGGTAATATAGCAGAGGCTTTCTTCATCTTCCTCTGGCCAGAGGTGTCAAAGGCCTACAGCAGTAGAGTAACATTAGAACCAAGTCTTACCCTCCAACCACATATTTAAATGTCTTTGTGTTAATTTTGTAAGGAAAAGTACCAGTGAGAGTATTTGGGAATGAGAAGTTCTGAATCTGAATGTTTGTTGTGGAAACACTAAATACCTTGGAGACAAATCTATGCTTCAAATATTGCTACTGGCATTTGGCAGTTCTGTCTAAGCACTGTACGGAATTCTACCAGCAGCAGCGTGTGTATGTGGCAAGATGGTCTTGTGCACCCATCTGATCTTCTCTGACCTACTTCACTAGAGGGTGATATGCAGCATCAGGATGTAAGTACTGACTCACCAGTTGAAAGCCAGATGGAAGCACTGGTGTCCTTGACTGTTCACTTTCCCACAGCTGGGAATTTGCTGCACCGCTCTTCACTTACTTTATTTCACCAAACCATAAACTGCAGGATTTCAGAAGCTACTTTCCATGCACTTAACACAATGTCTCAGGAACAGCAATTGAGAAGAAGGGAAGCAGGACAGCTAGCAGAAGGCATTAGTTGAATTCAGGTCCAGCCTTTCCTCACAAGTCAATTCTCTGTTAAACCTTGAAAGAATATTCTCCACAAGCCATTTGCCCTCATGCATCCAAACCCCTTCCCAAATGAGCTGTCTTTTCCAAAAACCCACCGATCTCCAAAACAATTTCTGAGCTCTGTAGCAACTAAAATAGGAGAAAAATGTGAGAAGGAATCTTTTTGTATAAAGTCTTTAAAGTGATACCTACACGAAACTCTCTCAATTTTTTTTTTTTTTTTTTTGCATCATTTCTTGTATCTAACTTAATCTGCATTGTCCATTTAGGCTTAAAAACGTATAAGTAAAAGCCTGGTACATGTAAAGGATGCTAAGATTTTTCAACCACTTGCCTATACCACCAACACAGGAAACCCATGGATGATTTCTGTATAGGAAAGCAGGCCTGAACTCTTCAGCACTGCTGAGCCATTCCCTGTAAAAGACACATCATGCTTTTTGGTCAGCTGTGTCACTTTAACAACAGAGACTGGACTGGCTACACTGCCTTCATTACTTCAGTGCTATCTGCTAGAGGTGTCCTCACTTGAAACAGGTATTTAATTTTATCAATTCAAGAGCTGACATACAATCACCATAAAACCAGGCAGGTTTGATCCTGTTTTTTTCCAGAGGTGCTCTTCTCACTTCACTTCTAATTTTTTTCTGGTTTTGCATGCCCCTGCATTTGCCACCTTATGCCAAGATCAGTAGAAGACAAAACACACTCTGTGACGGGCAGCGTGTCTCACTGGGGACTCCTCCAATATCTTACAATATGATCTTTGCCAAGATATTTCCATCTCAAATTTGGCAGGACAGAAGGCTGAACATTAAGGGCTTTTATTTCCTCCTGGATAGAACATGTTGAGCACTCTGAAAAATGATGCTTAAATTATTTGAAGGAAGAGCCTCACCTACCACCTTTATTGCTCATATCAATAATAATAAAAAAAAGAAATACATAATGAAAAGCCCCATCATCTGCAAAAGATTTACGTGCAGGAATAATGAATGGTGACCTGAGCTCCGCTCCTTTGCTAATTAATCAGAATCCTGCAAAGACTTGCTAAGATATTGCATTTCATACCGAACAACTTCAGTACGTTTAGATAAATGGGTATGACCCTCTGCAATATCAGGACCCAAACCTCTTCTCAGTGACGTTGGTACTCTTTGTAAGTACAGAAAGCAGCACTTGGAATTCAGAACCACCCAAAGACACCGAAGCTGAGAGGTTGAGTGTTTCCACCAAAACAAACCTTTACCTCCAGTTATCCAGGAGTGTAAATGGGACTGAAGGCTTTTCCCTCTCTTGTTACCTTGAATTCAAAGAGATGCTGGAGGTCTAAGTGGCTCTTCTGTTTCCTTGATGGCAAAGCAGGTGCACGAGGAACCGTTTTAAAGGATGATCCAGGAAAAATAGCAAGATATAGCAGAAAAATATTTATTTCATCACGCTCACACAAGTTTTTACATCTTTGTACACAAAGGAGACTAGATTAAAAACTGTTTCCTTGAAAAAAATCTATTCCAAAGAGTGAGATTTATAGTGGGAAACTGTGTGCAAGTCCATGTCCTATACTAAATATAAGACAAATACAGGGACAGAAAGCAGAGCACATTAACCTTGTTAAATAATCAAGTTACAGCATTAAAATCACAACCTGCATTTAAATTCCTAATTCAGATATTAGTTTTCCTTTTATAATTATATGTAATCCATAGTAATGTCTGATATTCCTGCAGTAAGCAGTACAACAAATGTTTTGTACAGCTGGACACGTGACTGTCTACAAGATCAGGAGCTGATGTCCCAGGATAGTGCTGTGAGGCAACCTGCTCTTAGAAACAATAATGTCCTTATGGCCTGTTAAGTCAAAGCTACAGAAAAGATTATTTACCTATTAAGACCTCTCACCACAAGAGGCCAAAAAACGTTCAAGTGCAGTTAAAAGTAGTCATTTCAAGTGTAGTTTCAAAAATGGCAAGTGCTGCTTTCTTTTTATTTATTACCACTATATCAGTGCAGTTTGTTTCACGACATTGTGGAAATCACTGGGTTTGGTACAGAGGGGAGAAGGGGAGAAAAGAAGAGTCTTTGTGTGCCAACCCACAGAGCCATAAACTGATTTGAACTGTTAGACCTTGATTAAGCACTTAAGGTATATTTACCATTAGTACTGAAGTCTGCTGGAACAAACAAGTGGGATCCTCCACTACCATTCTCTGGCTTAGACCCACTGAAATATCTTGACAGCTCTTTTGAGTGCTGGCAGCAAAAGATCTACCTCTTCTTTTGGAGAAGGAACATGGTACCACAGGAGTATACAGGCAGCTTCAGAGACAAAACAGGGCTAACCTGCACCTGGCTACTGCTGAAGTGCTAAGTGGATTTTAGCAGTGCTCCTCCTCACAGGCACTGATACAAAGTGTGGCCAAGATCAGATCCAGTGTGTGCACCCTCTCCTCACAGACAGCTGTCAGTGCTGCCTCAAAGATTCTTCCAGCCTCTAGTGTGATATTTTTCTAATTATGAAAATGAAGGATAGCCCATTAGAAGAGAATGCGTTGCTTCACATAGAGAGAGATAGAAAATGCTGGTTTAAAAATTTACTCTACTCAATTCATTTGCCTCACACCTTTACTAAGTATCTGTGATGGTAGAAAAGTCCTGTAGGCCAACTTCCTATTTCTACCCCCAAGCCTCCAGTTATTTTCCTACCCTCAAGCTGGTGATGTCAGCAATTGGTCTCATCATGCTTTTAATGTCTTAATAGCCTTGGTCAGGTTACTGTAAAATCCAGCTATGCTTGCTGGAAAGAAGGAATCCACCACTGTCTGGGGAAGATAGCCACCAAGATCAGTCTGAAAGAAACTGAGGAGTTGAGTCCTGTCTGGCTCCCTGCAAAGACAACACAAGTGATTTTATAGCCAGAGGTTTAAAAGCATGAAGAACTTTACAATTACTCTTATATGTAGCGTTTGGTAATAGATATTTCGAAGTACTTTTTTTTAATACACAAACAACAGACATTAATTCCAAATTTCAATGAATGTGGCTATCCCCACAAGCCAAATTTCAGTCAAACTAGGCCCTAATTAGGTACATGATTTCAATTCTGAATTACGGCAATGTAATAAATAACTGGATATCCGTTTACCAGAAGTTAACGCCAAACTTATATGTTCTGCTGAATCTCTGCTTAAGATGCCAGTGAGAATCCCAGCCTAATGGTGGTTTCTGCAACATTAAAGACTTCCCTCTAGGAAATGAAGAGGGACTAATTCACTGAGGCAAAAAGAGAACAAAAAGGGCATTCAGTCATAATGACTGCCAGTCAAAGGAAGGCAAGAACGCCCCATTGGCAAGAGGCTACAGATCACATGTGGCCATATACACATAAAACCAACACACAATAGATAAGAAGGGTTTCAGTATACATGATGTTCAAATAGATGCTTCTTACCCTGGAAGAGGTATACAGAAACAGCCACAGGGATAATTAAAACCTCTCACAAAATCTGGTTGAGGAGGACACATAGGGTGTTCCACATTGGTGGCTATAAGAAAAAGCATTCAAGAAAAGTATCATTTTCACATAAGAAAAAGTCTTTGCTACTTGAAGCACCAGCTAAGAAGCAAGCTCAAACTGAAAGAGAAAATACTTAAGAAGAGCAGCAGTATAACCTTTTCAACATGAGGCTGTGCCATACAAGCAGTCAGACAGGCAATCAGACAAGACCACTGAAAGGAACCCCTCCAAACATGGAAAAGGAAACTCAAAGAAGTGTTGAATTTAGAAGCAATTGTTATTTCAAGCAAGACACTGGTTCAGTTTCACTGAATCCATATTGTGTGAGGGCTTTGTTTTTCCTGAGAGGTCAGTTGAGTTACTTCCAACAAATCCATACTGAAGAGGTATATGCCACTTGACTGCTAAGAAGCTGCAGTCTAGCAAGAATATAAATTCCTGGCAAGGCATTCCTGAACAAGACGGGAAAATGGGACAGCTGAACAGTGGGGCAATAAAAGCACTGACTTGTAACAGGTAAACAACAGGATGAAAGTAGAAAAACAAAGAAACATCCTTCCATGCAGTGGCAGCCCCTTAAAAATCAGCACTATTTGGTTTCATAAGAACAACTATTTCCACATATAGGAGTGGTACATTTATTCAAAGGCTTCCCCAAAATCTAGAAGCAGTACAGAAAATGTTAAAACAGGATTTAGTCTAAATGACACTCCTTTAAAAAAGTTCTGTAAATTCTTAAACTATCCTCCAACCCCAAATCCCCAGAATTTAATAGCAAATTAAATGCTTATTCAATCTCAAATGCATAGCAAGGGAAGAAACCACAGGCCAACACAATATTATCATTTGAATGTTAGGCTGACTTATATACTCTGAGAACAACAATATAGAGCAACCACTAATATTTTATCCTCTGATCAAGATCAGATCAACAACTACTAAACAGCATGTTACTCATCTTTTATTTTATATGTATTTTTGGTAGCTACTATCTCCTAACAATGTGAACATGGCAAGAACACATCTTACCAGCAGATAGCATCGTCCCATCTTCATATTCCTTCATTAGTACCACATCCACAAATTCTCTTGGTGAAATAATCCTCATAAAAGCTGAAGGAGTTGTGGTTCTGCATATGGAGACAGTCTGGAAAACACAAAACAAAGTTATGTCAGTTGATGCTTTCAAAAGCACAGCAGAAAAAATCCCTGTTCTTTCTGGTACTCTTCCAGTTACACTTTCTAAACTGTATCAAAGAGTTCTGTCACACCCTTTGTTGAACAAAATACAAATCAGCACAGTCAAAAGGCACTACACTATGTTGATGAAGGACAGCTTAACGGAGAAAAACAGACTGATAACGTGTTGCTCCCAGGTTAAGGACAGATACCACAAGGGATACTGAAAATCAAATCTGGTACCTCTATGCTCATAGGACACTTAAAATGCTTCTTTTTCCCAGGAAGCTATCAAAGAGAACTTCTTTGTATCATATCACATGGATACAACTTGATAATCAGATTTGGTACACAGTAGAAACCTCAACACTACCATCCCCCTTCTGTGGAGGCTCTGTAGCGAAAGGCTCCATAAAACATAAAACTGGTAAGTGCTAGCAAATCTGATAAAGCCTATGAATTTCAAGTGGCAGGTTGTAGCATTCCTAAAGTTGAAGTTTAGAACTTAATGCTTGTAAGGTTGCCCCAAGAAAACTAATCTTCCCAGGTCTTCCATGAACGTTCCTGGAAATGGTTTCGTTGTTTGCACCCTGACTGCCTCTGCGCACCTATATCCACTTCAGATCTGGGGATCTAAATCCAATACCCTTTTAGGAGTCTGACAAAAAAAAAAAAAAAAAAAAAACAAGAATTAGACTGTACAACTATAGCAGCAGAAACTATTCCTCATACATATCCCTTTTCACCTGTAACATGCAGCCACTCTGCTTTAAGGACAGAGCCACTGAGGCAAAGCGCTGGGACCCAAGGTCAGGGAGAGCCGAAGGCAGCATGTGACAGGCGCAGAGCATCGCACCGCATCGCCTCGCCTGCTGCCGTGGTGAAGAACGGCCCCGAATTAACAGCTGATGACATGAACGCTTCACTGCCTAGCTGAGCCTGTGTTTTCCCCAACCCTCCCCTTTCCTCACACACAGCTTGTTAAAAGCAGTGATGCTTAGCTTGATTTACAGCATTAACAGCAAGATAGCGCAGGAATCTTGAATGTGGTACATTTCAATATTTTAAGTACGCAGTATTTAACCAAGAATGTATTAGTAGTTCCTTTCAGAGAGAGAAGATATTGTTAAAAGAACACGAAAGGAAAACCAAAACCAAACCCAAAAGATTCCTAATCCCAGTTATTGTCAGGCTGACCCGGAGAGGACGTTGTACTACTCCTTGAGACCCTTTCAGCTCCCTGCACACAGCACAGGCTGTCTTGTGAAGCACAACAGGAAGGTCTGTGCAGAGCCCAGCGCTTCTGAACACAACGCCGAGTTAATCACCGCAGGAGAACCCTTCTTAAGGAACTTACATCGCTGATGGCTTCGATAACCTCGAAGTCCTTCACGTTTTGGTCCCACTTGGTCCTCGGCCCGCCGGCCACCGGCTTTATGCATTCCCAGACGTCCCGGGGGCTGGCAGGCAGGATCCCTTCTCCCCTGTACCTGCGGCGGGACGAAACGAAACCAAACCCCGCTGCTCGCCCCCGCCGGGCCCCACA